AATTTTTGTCAAGAAAAATTATCCGGATTCGTCTACAGCTTACACTTAAATACGAGTTCGTTTTGAGATAAAAATATATAAATTTTTGGACCTGATTTTATGGGAGGTTTTTTTTTTTCATGCCGTTTACTAAAATATTCACAACTCCTCAAGATTTTCTCCAAGATCAACTTTACAACAGTCATTCGAAAGCTAAGTTATTGCTCTTCAAAACCGTTTCTTATAACTTATGTGTTTACAAGGAGTAAATAAAGAAAAATTACCCAAACATTTTTATTTTTTATCTTCAATACTAATTTATTTGGGGGAGTCTGGTTTGTGCCATTTGATGTATATTATAGGGTGCTGTATTCTAATCTTCGTATAAATAAGTTGAGACATGTCGAAGTTATCACGAGTTTTGTGATTTTCGAAGACAAAAAAATCGTAGTTTTTTTTTTTCAATTATATTTAATTTTTGTTCTAATCGAAAAATGTGATTTTTTTTCTTAATATTACAATAAGTAGACATTAGAATTGTTAAATATCTTTAAATGTTGAGATAATTTTTTATTATAGTCCAAAAATAAATATATTTTGTTGCACTAATATTTACTATAAAGCCATAAACATATGTGGATTTCAATTATAAGAGGTTAATAGAAGGCATAATATTTGTAAAAAAATTTAAATATTTCAATTGTAATGAAAATTTATATTTAATTGTTTTCAGAGGCGTGAATAACGAATATCATATTTGTTTATCGTAAAAAAATATGTTTCATCGTATGAAATGTACAATGCATGCTTCATTCTTATTTTTGGATCGAATCTTGACAAAATACCAGATTTTGTGAGTGTAGTCTTGCTTTCGATACCTGCCCGTCCGTTCTAGAAATAAATATATAATTGGCATGTAGCTTTAGTATGAGTAAAATATTGAAATAATTACTACTAATGATAAAGCATGCAATACAATATCGAAACAATTAGTACTAATTTATTTTAATAAAATTTTATAAAATAATTTTTCTCTGGATAAAAATCTATGACATTGGAAAAAAAAAAAGCCTTAATCGAGACTGAGAAGGCCTTTTTTTACTAATACTTATTATAGTCTCTTTCCCAAGATCATCTTTTATAAGACATTGGTCTAATATTTTTCGACCGAGTGTCACCAAAATGTTTCATTGAAATAGGTGAGCCCTCTTCTGTAAGATGGTTGGATAATATTTTCTCAATTGCGTAAATACTTCTAAGTTTAAAAATTATTAATTTAAATAGTAAATCTCTACATTTTTAAAAATTCTAATAATTTATCTGTAAACGTATACTTAATATCAATAATCTATAACACATATATGTTTTTTCAATTTATATATATTAAAAACTAAAAGAACAGTTTGTAACGTTTCTTTAAACGTCAACTGGATGATAATATTATAACAGTAAAATTATAATTAAGAAGGGCCTATCCAGCGGAGAGGGAGTAACAAGATACGTAGAGAACGGCGTGTTTCTGATGTTTGGAGTGCCTGAAATGTTATATTGTGATAATAGTATTCAGTATACAAGTGAAAAATTTAAGAATATGCTAGACAAATACGGTACTTATTGTCGGTACAATCTAGCATACCATCCCCAGGCTAAGACGAGCAGCTAACGTTAATCCTGGAAGATGTAAAGAGTAGGTTGCGGCAGGCGCAAGGAAACAATGCTCGACGTTATAATCTTAAGAAAAGTTGGTTGAAGGTCAACAAGTATGGGTTAAAACGTACAACCTCTCGGTCTTAATTAGATACAATACAGTCAAACTCGAATCGATGTATGAAAAGGGTATAGTCAAAAGAATTTTGTCAGATCTGGTGTATGATGTGGTCGATCAGACTGGAAGATCGTTGGGGAACAGACACTTCCAGGAGTTGAAAGCCGATTCATCAGAGAGTGTAAACACTGCAGAAGAATGTTCTTCGCCATCCCCAGGAATTGGGGAGATTGTTACAGTTGACAGAATGATTAAAGATTGAATTAAAAAAAAAAATAGGTGTTGTGATTAAAGTTTTTTTTTAAGGAAGGTTATAGAAGGATCGAGAGTTGTGATATGGACTGTAAACGATATTTGATTACTTTGTTAATTATTTTTGGTTTAATTTGTTCCTATTATAAATAAATTGGCTGATTATGGATATATTATCAATTATTTAATATCACCTTCAAAGAAGAAATAGTCAGTAAGGAAGCACTCACTCCCTCTCCACTGGGTAAGCCCTTCTTAATTATAATTTTACAATAATAATATTATCATCCAGTTGACGTTTAAAGAAACGTTACAAGTTCAATAACCCTGATTTACCGAGTTTTTTCCAAGTTATAATGAACTAATCTGATAAACGTAGTTTCAATGTATATTCATAAAAATGTTAACTATCGAAAGATTTTTTTATTTTACTTTAATTTTTACAAAATTTACAGGTTAAATTGACATTAAATTTTATTACAACTTATACTTAGTATTAACAGGTATTGTTGTCTTGTTGTTGTCTAACAGGTCTTGAACGGATAAGCGGAGATTCTTCTATGTCTGAATAAAAATTTCCAATTTTCCAAATATAAGATAATTTGTTTTAATAATTACTTTTTAAGGGATCAAGGATAGTAAAATAAGTTAAAGTCCGTGGTATAGACCCCCCCTTTTTTTTAAATCAAATTATTAACATCCGGCTGATACTTCGTCAGTAGCTTCATCTCATTGTCTACAAATATTTTATTTGAGAAAATTCTCGGAATTTGGGCGTTTTCAAAATGGAGGTCGGCAAACTTTCTCCATTTAATTAGGTACCAAAAGCTCGTAAATACCCATTTGCTTTCAACTTAAATCGTAAGATAACTTGAGCACAAATTTGAGAAAAAAAGCGGCCTTCAAAAATATTGAGCAGTTTGGCTAGACCTATACTCCCAAATTGTCAAAATAACGAGACTATATATGCTAAACCGCTCAATATTTTTGAAGGCTAACTTTTTTATCGACTTTGTGCTCAAGTTATCTTACGATTTAAGTTGAAAGAAAATAGGTATTTACGAATTTTTAGTATCTAATTAAATGGAGGAAGTTTGCTGACCTCCAGTTTGGAAACGCACCAATTTTGAGAATTTTCGTAAATAAAGTATTTATAGGTTACGATGAGATATGAGCTATTAACGAAGCTTCAGCCGGATGTTAATAATTTGATAAAATGGGGTCTGTACCACAGACTATTATCTGAAACAGCTGATAAAGTATTTTAATGAAGATCACCCCAAGTCCATAAAGATAACAAGAGCTCACTTGCATATAAAGTGTACCGCACTGCATGTTGCTCTTATCTTACAATTTTATAGGTTATTCGATCGCTAAAGTTTAAAACAGTCGGCCATGTTAATTGTTCAACAGAGAAGGAGAAACGCTAGTAAAGTAATTTACATTTTCTTCTTTTTATGTGTGTTCATGAATTAATGTATTTTTACATTCATACGATAATTGAAGTAAGCAAGCCAATTAATTGAAGTTATACATCATACGAGTTTCAAATAGTTTAAAATGCTACAAGATGGTTGTTTGTTATTACAATATTTTATAAAACGTAAAAAGTGTAACTTATGACAAAAAAAAAAAAAAATACATTTTATTTGTTCTTCATATTGTTGATATGAGCCATAACCAAGTTTCTCCATCTCTGCTTATCTTGGACCATTTCTTTCCATTTTTCATTATGCAGCGTTACATCATCTTTGTTAATTCGATCTATCTATCTGCTTTTTGGCATTTCAGATGGTTTCTCGCTTACTATTGAAGCATTCATTGTTGTGTCGAGGTTGCATAATGGGTTGCTCCCAGCTATATGCCCACCTATCTTAACGTCCTCGCTTTCATATTCATGTTACCAAATCTTGAATAACCAGTTTCAGTAAGTAGTTCTCTATTGGTACTTCTCCTCCATGCGTTAGTACTATGACTCCAGATCCCTCCGGCTATTCTGCGGAGGTTTCTTCTCTCAATTCTTCTTTCAGGGGAACTAGTTAGTGTTTAGTTTTCACAACTGTACATCTGAATTGGCTTTATTATAGCATTATACACCATTAATTTGAGATTTCATTACACTTAAAAGAAAGAAGAAAGCTCTTCGCGTGTTATAACTATGCTCTATTATCTAACGTTGGTCGTTAATTGAGGTTATTGTGGATCCGCGGTATTACAATTTGTTTCTTCCTGAAAACGATTCCCCTTCTTGTTGTTAGTGAGAATTTTTCGACTTATTATCACATATTTTGATTTATCTTCATTAACTTGTTGGTCAATTTGCTCTGCTTCATATGTCAGTGTCTTAGAGAGTCTCTCGTGTGCTTTCAATGACAGTTACATTATCGGCATATACAATGCATTATGCATACATTATCGTCACCTAATAAATATGGATAATATTTCCAATTGAATGTTTTAAAAGTAATTATGAATGCATTTTTTATTTAATTATTTGTACCCTTTCTTGTTTTATTTATAACCGTTTTATTTTTTTTACCTTTTTTGTTATGTTTCATTTTTGGATCACATCTAATCAAGAAGTAATGTACATTCTTTTATAAAACAATAAACCATCAAGATAAAGTGTTCCCACTGGAAAACATACATATTACTTTCCAAATGGCTATGTATATATAGGGTCACACACAAAAAATATCAACTTATTACAAAACAGTGATTTTATTCATTACATTTTTTACATACTTCTTATTTAAAAGTTTTTCCAAACAATCAATACTGTAATTAGACATCAATTAAATTCTTAAACTTTTTACAGTAATTAAACAACGTAATTACAGAGTAACTAAATGAGATTAGATCTGTCATGTCTTAGGGATACTTTCTTGCAAATAGATATTATGTTTGTTTCCAGGTCATCAGCTCCCGATGGTATGTTTTTAATATCGTAAAGTGTTGTAATAAAATAGATATAATTATAATTAAAATAGAAGAATTTACTCACGGTTTGGATCAAAGCCAGTGATGAACTTGGGGCAAGGCGCATAGGCTGTGGTTCCTGCTGCCGTCTCCTGCCAACACGACCATCCGTCCCAGGTCGCTTCGCAATAGCTACCTAAATAATTATAACTATTAAAATTTAGTAATAAGTAAGATGGAATAGGTAAATTAACATAATTTATTAAAAGAGACAGAACAAATATTATAGGAAAATGCTACTAAAATTAGTAAATAGAGAAGATCGAAACGGAGAAAAACTTTTATTTTTAAAAAAAGTTTCGATATCACTGGCATTTTTACTGTATATCGGTTTTTTATTTCTTTTGGAACTAGAACTTTTTCCATAGTAATTTTTCAAATTATAGTTTTACAGAACTTTTATTTTTAAAAAATCAGTCGATATCGCTAAAATGTCAATCTAAAATATTACTTTCATTCATAGCTACTAAATAAACCTCTCATCAGAATCATGTGCTATTCATTTAAGGCGAATTGTAACTATCACTAAGTCTAATAACTGTTTATTTTTCATTTAACGGAGCTTCCTTAGATCTTTTATTTTAAAAACTTTTTAATAAAATGATTCACAAAAACTGTTGAGACGGAACGTTTTTCATAAATAGTTTCACAAAGATAGTTAAAATGGAAGTTTTTAAAAACGTTTCTTAAAAGTTTCAACCCCTGGTTAACAAGTATGCTATCATTGTAGAAAATCACAGAAGGCAATTTTTACATATCAGTCAATATTTATAGAAAGCTCTTTGTATCTATGCATGTCGACATAAGAAAGCGTGTTGTATCTTTGCATGTATAAATCTAGAAAGCTCTTTGCATCTTTGCATGTCGACTTTCAGAAAGCTTCTAGTATCTTTGCATCACAACATAAATCACCTAGCAGGTCAACTTAAACAAAAGGTCTTTTCGTTTTTTTTGCATTTCAACTTGCAGAACGTTATGTACTAGCATAACTGCGTGCAAATGTACTGAAAATAGATGAATTTATTTTCAGAAAAGTTTCTAGCGTAATAGCACCAGAACTCTACAATACGTAAGAATATTCACATACGTCAACTTGATTGATAATTCACCAATGAGTTTAAATAGATATTCAAGTACATTTCACCCCTTAGTTAAATGTTTATGGTTAGAGTTCAAGTCATTGTAACTACCTAATAACAGGGGTTCCATGTTATTTATTTTTTCGTTTCATAAAACATATTATTGTTGTCATTGTTTAACAAATATCATTCATCTGATTTTCATTGATAATGGCATTAGTTAGTTTCTACTGTTCAAAAAGTACATAATTATACCAAGTCTGATAAATATGGTTTATTTTTTGTTTTTTCAGCTGGCATTACACACCATGTAGATCTTTTACCGGCATAACAAGCATGCTCCACCTCTGCCTGTCTTGGGTTATTTCTTCCATTCCTCTGCACGCAGCTCTTTTGCATCTTTGTTGATTCTATTTATCCATCTACTTTTTGGCCTTCGACGTGGTCCTTTGTCCTTGTGGTCCTTTCCAGATGGATTGCTACGAGCTACATGCCCCGCCCATCTTGACCTCCTTGCCTTCATATCATGGGATATTTATTGACCGGTTTCTGTAAGCAGTTCTTTATTGGTATTTCTTCTCCACGTGTAAGTAATCTGATACCAGATCGCTCCGGTTATCGTGCGGAGGATTTTCCCCTCAAATCTTACAACACTTTTTTCTAGGGTGCTGGTTAGAGTCCAGGTCTCACAGTTATAGAACTGGCTTTATCATAGCATTGTGCATCCATAGCATTATAACTAATTCATTTTACGGAATTACAAGATATTTCTTGAGATTTATCGGGATTTCAATACCTTTAAAAGGGAAGCTCTGTTTGCACTAGTTATACGCTGGTCTATTTCTGCCTGTTGGTCATTCGGTGAGGTTATAGTAGAGCCGAAGTATTTGAATTTTTCTACTCTTGGGAATGATTTTTCTTCTACGCAGATCCTGTTATTGGGGTGGAATTTTCGGCTTATTATCATATATTTTGTTTTATATAACCCTATCCCCAATAAAAAACTTATTACGAAACCTAAACCAAGCCTCGGATAAATATGTTAAAATAATATATTTGAATTTTTAAATAATGATGAACGCGCCTTGAGATAAATTTTATAAATAATTCATTTTACGGAATTACAAGAAATTTCGCAAGTATATTATAATTAATTTTTAAGTGAAATATAGATGATTTATCATGTTATAATGTGAATTGTTTTTATGTTCGAATAAATAAACTTTTTAACTATAACTGACTGAAAAAGTAGTTGACTCAAATAAGCAGAGCAAACCTATTAAGAACGCCTATGAAGACACTTTATTTGAACCGAAATTAAATTTTTTTTTTTTTGGAATGTGTTTATTGAGTTCTGTTTTTTTTAGTAAGAAATATTACAATCTGTCTCAATTAAGGACATTTATGTTCATTGATTATTAAGACAATCCGCCCTATTTAAGTACAATAAGTATTAGGGCTACAAGTATTCATTCATACAATATATACATATCAAAGGGAAGTAATAGGGTGAATAAAAAAAAAATTAATACCGTTTTCAACCAATTTGTATTATTATTTTTTTGATATAACATACAATTAATACTAAAATTATAGTCCATTGTTATCTATCGTCATTAGCCATCTGCTAGCCAATTGCTCGATCCCACACTGATACCATTCTTTGGGATGGTTGTCAAAGGACTCTTGGACCGCAATTTTAACTTATCAAATAAAAAATAAAATTATCAAATTATCCTCTTGAAGAAAATAGGCCCTAGATCTGAGTAAATAATAATCCGATGGTGCGAGGTCTGGAATATGTGATGGATGAGGCAGCAGTTCGAACCCATAAAGTTCTTTGAACTTTGGTTAGACGGGAAGTGTGAAGATGATCATTATCTTTTTGGAATGAAATTTCTTTTCGGTTGATCAAAGCAGGATAACGCTCTGACGACTTCGCTTACAATATTTCCAGTTTTTCGTAGTAGAGTTCAGAATTCGTAGATCATCCACGAGAAAGTAATTCCTGATTAACGAGACTTTAAAAATTCAAAAAACGCAAAGCATTTTCAAATATGCCCGGTTACAGCAACTGCAAAAGCAGTTTCGATTCCCCATCTAGCCATAGCTCACGAGTATTAAAATTTCGCCAGTAAACACAGTTTCCATCACAGGTGACAATCCCCCTGTAAAATCTCATATCACATTTTCAATAATTTGACACAAATTTCTAACCTCTTAGCTGATTGCTGAAGAGTTAGCTCGTGAGGGATCAGTCTACTGCTCTTTTTCACCTTTCTCATGGAGAGCCGATGGCAACTAACAGTATCTTTTGGCACACCATACTCCCTGGCACGTTTGCTTGTGGACGGATTTGACTCAACAGCTTCCGGCAGAACTTAATCAATATCCATGAGTGCTAAATTTTTCAAACTAAAGCTGAGCGGTGTGCTGATCAAGGACACCTTGCCCTTCATATTAAATAATTTCACGAGTTCCTTCAGCGACTGTTAAATTTTTTTTCCAGCAATGCCTTAAAATTAAGAGAATTTCTTAGGACACTGTAATGGTTCTTCTTTGAAACAAATTACTAAACTGAGACTTTTTTTGAAGAAGTCGACTGGAATTAAACAAGCTTAGAGAATGCTCTAAAGGGATTATTCAGTATTGGTAAGTATTAAATAAGATTAAAATATTGTCAGTCCATCAATAATAAATTTTTGCAACAGACAAATTAAAATTATATAAGTAGACCAACATTTTTAAAATAATCTTTCTTCAAAAATAGTTCAACTATTTTTATTATATGAATATAAACGATCCCCTATTGTTTCTCTTACAGATTTTAAATTACACTTGGCTAATACTTTGACTCTTTCCTCTATTCAAAAACAAAATAAAAATATAGTCTTTTTGATTATATTTTTTTTACACCCCTATTTCAACAAAATAAGAGTTTTCTGGGCCACTAGAGAGTGAATTGGATTAATGCCATATTTTGAAAAAAACACAGCACTGGCACTCGTAATCTTTGGTTTATGTGGTTTGCCAAGTAATGCGTGCTATACACATGCATTAGTCCAGGGGGTGGGGTGGCTGAATGGGCTAACGTGTGTGCACAGCACCGTGAGTTGCCCGGCAATCAGATAACCAAGTTTTGAGATTGAAAAAAGTACGAGTTCGCGTCCCGGTGCGAGAGAGGATTTTTAATTCTCCGCCCTCACCCTCCGCCCGGGAAAATCCCGTATAGCATAAAAGGCGAGGTAGAGAAGATCAGAAAAAAAAAAAAAGCAAACATGCATTAGTCCGTTTGCAAAACCTTTTTCAATAACAGTAAAACATTTGATAATGCAAAGAAGTATGTGATTATGTTGATATAAGTTTTAAATTTAAATGTGTTTGTGTTTTGCAAATCCCTAATAACTGTAATAATAATTTTGAATTTGATAAAACTTTAATTTTTTTATACATCCTATTAAGTATAAATAATTAAAATAAAAAGGCTCTAACGTAATGGAAATTAATATATATGGATAAAAGCTAAATAAAATTAAAAAAAACATAAAACATGGATTTCAACGTAGAAAGCATGATAAACATAAATATTTGTACTAAACGAAATGGATTCAAGGGGAGATAAAAGGTTTTTGAATGCACGAAGATGCATAGCAAAAACTTTATTAAAGATTGTATATCCACTTTGACCTATTTCTTGAAAAATACTTTATCATATAACTCTATATCGCATGAATAATTTTTCTTTTCTGTATAAGATAGGGGATTGAGGTTTTAGATAGACCTATGCACATTACTGTAATACAGGATTTGAAATCGATACTTTTATTTTTAAAATCCTGTCATAATTATTATATTTGATTTTAACTTTAAAAATCATACCTGATTCATAAATGAAATTTTAAATCGATCCTTGAAGTTAATTGATTCGATTATAAATAATGATTAAGCATTGAATGATACGGTTTTACATAAATAAGAATGATTAAATTGTGATAAAAAAGTTCCAATCAGAAAATAAAAATCACCTTTTACAAATAAATTAAATATTAATATGTAT